GTGTATGATAATTTCAATATACCTTTTTAAAGAAATCAACAGTGTAGTGACTAAATTAAAAAGATATTTTTGTAAACTTAACGCGGGTAAATACAATTAGGTGGCACAAAATTGTTTGGGGAAGAGATTTGGCTGCGCTGATTGAAACAGATCAAACCAGGTCAGTTTAGTCTAACCAAAGTGAACCCATAAATATCAAAATTGATTTATATTAATGATGAAGGAAATCATATCTTAGATAATATCATTTAAGTTTCAAATATTTTGCAAAAGACAACTGCCTGTATCACCTGTGTGTTCTATATATGTAGCCTACAAAACAAATGTTTCTAATAATTGTGAATCATAGACATTTGATTAAAATATATGTCTATATATGTAAACATTTATTACCCATTATCACATACAGTATGTTTATGTCTGGCCATATATGAAATGTATTCTTATTTATGTGATATTTACCACAAATAAAATTCCTGGGCTGCTTATTATTATGTTGTTATTATTGATTCAAAGGTCTCTCTTCCTGTAAATCTAATATCCAGTACAAGGTCTGGTTAAATGAAACTTTGCTGCTGCTGCTACGTATGCAGTACAAAAGAGCCAAAGAGCCTCATTTCCACATAGCATCTCAAGCGCTAACCTTTGCTGACAAAGCTACCAAATTCACAATATCTCATGAACACTCTTTCAAAGTGTCCCTGATTTATTACTTGCACTTTGGGTGCATGTTTTTATGACTTCAGTGTTGTTTGACAGCTGACTCTAAAACAATTGAGTGACAAAATACAGAGAAGCATGTTCTTGTGAATGTTTCTACAAACAAAACTGTAGCTGAATAATGGAGGAATAATGTGTAACCAGCAATCCGACTTCCATCAGCTCCTAGTCCAAACCTGAGGATCTATACCAGCATTTCTCCTGTTTAACTTATTGTCCTTTTAAAACCTGAGACTTACATTTTTAATTAGCTGTGGGCGGAACAGGAGACAGCACTAAAGTTATTTCTTTTATCTGATTTCACTTAATGGAGCTATTGTTTGAATGTGCCCTGTCTTGCTTGTGCCTGTTTTTATGTCCTCATGTTTACTGTTGTTTATATACCTTCTTGGAAAGCACTCTGCTTGGTCAGTAAGTGCAGTATAAATACAGTTTACTTGTATTGTATTCCATTTTTATTCCTTTTCTCTGTAATGATCCAATTTTCTTACAGGGATTTTTTTTAAAGCTTAATATACACATTTCAACTGGTGTACATGGTGGAATTAAAATTAGTTAACTCCCAGTGTATCCTATACACAGTTGTATTCTTTCTACATAGTAACATGAGTTATGTTTATTCCATTTTCACTGTAAACAAATCATAGTATATAATAAAATAATAATATAATTAAACAAAATGTAATCTGTGACCCATTAAGATTTAAAGGGCAGAGGGTGAGAGCTCTGTAGGAGGCAAACAAAAGAGCTATAGAGGGCTATAAAAGCAGCACGGAGAAGAATAAAGAAAAACATTAAATTTCTACTATTATTGTTGGAACTAAAGTCTACTTTTCAGGAATGAACAAAAGCTTCACTTAGAAAAAAACATTCTGAATAGACTAACTCCTGTTAGTCTGTCTCAAACAAAAGTCCACTTTGACATATGAAAATCATTTTCCAAGGTTTTATAAGTTTTTTATTTGATCAGGCACATTGAAATGATTAGCAGGGAAAAAGTTCCCTTCGCCCAATCTGACAGAGTGCTTTCATATTTATATAAAGGACTTCTTTAACTGAAAGATCCTTCAAAAAAAGTCTTACTGCAAGGTCATACCACTTATTATCCAAATTATAAAAATGCCATACATGTCCTTAGGTCACTTGTACTCGATGAAGAGTTAGGAGACCTGGATTACTTACACAGCAGAACTGATTGAGGCTCGGCCTATGAGAACAAGATCCCAAGTCACACTGAATGACACCATTATATATCTTTGGGTCTTTTTGCTTTAATTGGATAGGACAGCTGAAGACTGACAAGAAAAGGGGAAGAGAGAGTGGATGACACGCAGCAAAGGGCAACAGGTCAGATTCGATCTCATGGCCGCTACAGCAAGGACTCAGCCTTGGTACGTGGCGTTCAAGCTCTTCCAGGTGAGCTATAGAGCACGCCCTCTGCTGTGTGGTGCTTGAAATTAACTTGACAGCATACTAATCCTCGTCTGATTCTAATTTCTCACGTTATAGGAATGTGATATTGATTGCGACATACTGTAGTCAGTCAGCAAAATCAAAAATAAGATGTTAGAAACATGTAATGATGATGATTGACACTCAGAAATTAAGCGAAAATCTGACTTCAGGAGTGCAGATCCTAAATTGTATTGTGGCTTTCATTTTCCATTACTGGGGAAGTAAGATGGAGAAGGTAAATAGAGTCCAGACAGCTAGAAACACCTGCAGAATTCAAGTTTTACTTGTTAAAACAAACTAAGGCCCACAAATCAGCTAAGTTGCTTTCATCAAGACTGCCATAAAGGATATTGTCTGCTTTAAAACTGAACAAGCTTTTACTTGGTTAATCATATTTCACTAAGATTAAAGCAAAAACAAGAGCCTGTTGGTTACCCTGGTTAAGAAATGTAATTGGTGTCGACCCAACACATTGGTGGGACTCAAATAACTATTGACTCATGGTCCCGAGAGACCATGAATCCAGTAGTTCTTGGTTCTTCTCCTACTGACTTTGCTCAAAGCACTACTGTTCCTAAGTACAGCCTCACACAGCTGCTAGCATGGCTGCAGAGCAGACTAATGAAGAATAGTCTCTTGTTTAAGCATGAGGGACGGTACTCTTGTACAAACATACTGATCCAAATCCATTAAAGTTTACCACTGTGGACTAAAATACAGAGTGAGTAAACATAATTAATTTCTGATGACTAATTTGATGTTTTCCACTCCCCGGAATGGTTTGTGTGACTGATTTACTAAAGGCATTATTAACTTTGTGGAGCATTCAAGAATAGACACGTTCAGCTCAGCTCTCTTCAATCCTGTATTGTCTTGAAACAAGAAAACACTACAGCAAGCTGATTAAAGCAATGTCAATAATTCAGACATGGAATACATATTCAAACAGGCCTTGTTAATGTGGCTATGAACTTTACTCAAATATTACAGGACAGTACAAGAGGTTACCTTTCATTATATCTTCTCAGTACAACACAGCCTTGTTTAGCTAAAATACAATATTTAAAAAACTGCAGAGTTTACTCATCATTGAATGCTAAATTAATCTATAAGCAATGAATACGAATGCAGTTAATAAAACCAGCTGATAGTGTGGGGCTTTATAAATACACAATAATATGCACTGTAAGTCAGTAAAGGATAAAGTCCATTGGCCTTGCTGACCTTCAGAAACCTTAAGACATGATAGGTCCCTATTAGAGGGCAAGAACTGAAGTAGTATTAGAGATTTCTTCAATGAACATTTGCAAAGAAAATACACAAAAAAGGATGACTTTAAACCCCATAAAACAAGTATCCATTTTTTTAACTGAACATAATGCTTTACAAGTATCTTTCATTGCACAGTCCAA